TTGATTTCCTTGTCTTTCTATGCTCATTACTCAGCCAGTATACATTTTCTTCCAAAATTGTTTGGCACATGTCATTTATTTGTAATCTTGAACATTCAGTGTAAGTTTCGTTTGATTCTGTGAGAATTTTTTTAAATATTTTTTTACCAGTACTGGAGTTTATCTTTAACATGCTAAAGGAAGCCCCGTAAAGGCAATGGGATATTACGAGCTACATGGCCGGCATGCAATCGATACAAAGCGAAGGGTGAATTGAACGGGGGACCTGTCAAGAAGAAGTTGTAAAGAAATAGTGGAAGGGATACAGGAGAGAAAAGGTAGTGGGGTTCTAGCTGAGAAGAATGTCGTGGATAAGAAGGAGAGAAATTTAATGAATTCCATTGATAAGGCGGGTAGAGTGAGAGATCGAGTTGTAATGAATGAAGGATGTAAAGGAGCTTAAACATGGTCAGGATATAGACAAAATGGAAGAAGGAAAATGATTTATGAGATGTACTTGTTGAGGGGAGATATTATAGACAGGGGCAGGAGGGAGTAAAAAGGGAGAAGTTGAGAAGATAAGAAAGGGAAATGGGGAGAAATAGCTTTCACAGAAAGAAGGAGATGTGTATATGAAAAGAGCATGGAAGGAAGGGAGAAAGGCGACAGAGAAAGGGAGAAATGGAGACAGAGATTTAAAGAAAAAGAGACGACGACAGAGGGAAATATAAATGAATGAATCAAGTAAGTTAGTTAAAATGAGAAAGAGATGAAAAATATCATTTAAAGATATATAGCAAGAAGGAATATCAATGAAAAAAATGTAATAGAAGACAAAACAGAGAGAGAGGATGTGTAAGAAAGGAAAAGTTTTGTGACGAAGATTAAGAGACGCAGAAAGAGACAAGGGGCACAGACCATTGGGGATAAATGACTAGAATATAAGGTTGCACCCACCCACCCCATCTCCATCCCAAATAAAACAAAAAGGAAAAGAAAATCAGTGAGACAATAAAAACATTCATAAAAAAGACGTACACTCGTAATTAAACAGAAACTGATGATAATAATCTAAAGTAAAGATACAACCAGAGAGCAAAATAAAAATGAATCAATAATGGATCATAGGTAAAAAGTCAAATATAAAGTGCAATGGTCTATAATCATGATAATACAGGGGTTGGAACTCGACATAATAGGCTTCGGCCGAAACTTATTGAATAGAGGCCCTGGCACGTGCCACGATCCCCCGTCACTGGCCGCCAGGTAAACCCGACCCGCCCCGCTCGCGCTCCGACAATACCTGTCCTCGTTATTCTTCGCAAAAACTAACAAAGTGTAGCGAAGTGAAAATATTGTTTTGGTGAAAAATAGCCCCTGTGCTTTTGTCAACAAGCAAAGTGAGGGGTGCTTCTCATACCGTCTCACTCCTCCTACTTGTTTTCTTGTGGTCTCCTCAAAGAGGCTCAAAGGCAAGCGCTGGAATAACGTTTCTCTTTAAATTTACAGCCTCGCTCCGAGTCGTTTGCTTTTATGCGCAAGGTATAGTGCTTCGTTTATTCCGCAGCCATCGGCAGGGTTTAACGTTGTTTCGTATCCTAAACTCATACTATTATGGTTGGCAAAATTGCCTTCATCATAAATGTTAACTACCAAAGGATTCAAAACTTTTTTTGTTTCGTCATGATGAATATTTTGTGTCACTGTTCACTAATTTTTACAAAAAATAATTTGCACATTTTCAAGGAACCCGTTGATTTGGTCTTGGCTATAGGCTAAGTTTGGTTGACAATTATTGCGATCCTTCATCGGGGTTCTCATTACCGCATTACACGTTCATGACTGTGGTTTATATGGCCTCTAATCACCATGTATACTGCCAGAGGAGACAAGCAGACAATAATTATTCTACCCTCTCAAAAAACCCTTCCCAATAATCTCTAATGACGCCTCCTGAAACAACGAAGCAATTCTTGTCGCACACATGGGTTTTATTTCTTTTAAAAACAGAGTTTCAGCGATTTTTATGAGGATATTAGCGCAGGTGCATGACTTTTGGTCTGATTTATTTTTTGCCCCGCCCCTTTCCACGTGTACCAAGGGAACGCCCCTATAATTATGTTTCTCATTAATGTGTATGAGGATGAGTTTCTATACGCGTGAGATATTATGCTAGTTTAAGCCCCACTGCACTATTTATAGCTACTTGCGCCCTCTATATAGCACACAATGCCTAATCGGTGCCTGCTGGTCCCCCATGATCCTCTTTTTATATGTTATTTGAGAGCTGATTTGATGAGATAACCACCTGTCAGTGACCTTGCAGGGAGGTCTAATCCTTCTGGCCAAACTGGTGCAGACGGGCTTTAAGACGAGGCTTCGTTTAATGACGCAACACTGCGCCAGCGACTGGCGCAGTGTTTGACGCACCATTTGAGAGGGAGAAGTCTTCCAAACAAAATTAATGCAACATGAACAGTGTAAACATTGAATTGATTTGCTGGTGTATACGGGTTAACTCCTTTCGTAGGCTTTATTGGCGCAGGTAGGCTACTGACGCGTATTGTGCGGGTCTACGTCAAAACGCAGGGTTGTTGAAGCCAAAAGAGGGGTAATGCATCATAACACTTCCAGAACAACATTAACCAAAGGAAGAGCAGTATGTATACCGGTGTGGCTACCATGGGCAAATAAGACCCAGGTATAATTTGTATCAATTACGTAACATAATGAGATTTCATCACAGCTTTGGCAGAACATAGAAACTTAATTAGAATAGGAGTGAAGCGAATATACCTTACCACGACAGCTCTACATTTCTGTTGGTAGATCATAAGCCTATTATGTTGACCCCTAAAACTTGCACAATAAAAAAAAATCTCCTACGGGGGTTTCAAATGTGGGGCAATCACCTCGAGCTCTAAAGTTAGTCTTCTCGGTCGGAGGCTAGCCGAAGCTCTTGGCAAGACAATACGACTATTCCCGTACGCCTCCGCCCAAGGGGCAGTTTGATGCTCCAAGTCTCGCCGCAATGGCCGGTCATTATGACAGCCGTGGTTAGCTGCAATCGGCGGCAGCATAAACTATTTGAACCCGTCCAGGACGGGCGAATTGTCCGTGCGGTTTCGATGGCGCAATCGGTGGTCAAATTAGGAAACGTGGTGAAAGTTAATCATATTCATGGTATATAACCAAAAGAGGTTAAAATAAATATTGTTCTGAATTTTATCGGCATGGAACTAACCACCTATTTTTCATGTGGAATCTTTAAAACCATTGTTTCGAATTCTTATCGTAAACTTATATCATTGGAACATAATAATTATGCAATGTATAGACTGGGTGTGATTACCGAAGATTTTGAGATTTGTTCTTTTGCAAAAAATGGGTGGAAGACACAGGAGTATTGTGTCGTATGGTTTTGCTCACATCATTGCGTACGATGTGTAAAAGCTAAGATCAGATTACCCCCCCCCCCCCCACCCCCACCCCACACACACGCACGCACACGCACACACACACATATATACATATATACACAATGCTAGTCTTGTTTCTCGTGAAAACCCAATTCTTGTGAAATTCAAGCTCATGTTTTACTCAATGTTTCGTGTGTCAAACACTTTCTCTCCTCAACCCTTTCTGAACAAAGGCCTTCTCGTTCTCCCCAGTTTGGGACAAGTGAGTCCAGATACAGAGAGGGGACAGAGAAAGAGGGAGAGAGAGAGGGGGGTGGGGGGGGGGGCAGAAGGAAGCAATGAGCTTAAATAAAGAGAATGGATATAGAAGATAGAATAGTAGATACAAAAGATAGGTGAGACATTGAAGGAGTAGGCTAGATAAAGCTATGGACAGAGAGAGAGAGAGAGAGAGACAGAGAGAAACAAGAGAGAAAGAAATGGAGAAACAAAAAGAGAGACAGAGAGTGAGGGAAGAAAGAGAGAGAGGAGAGAAGAACGAACATGAAGAAAATAAATATTGAAAGAAATAGAAGACAATGAAACAGTAAATTAGATAAAGATAGAAACAGAGTCATAAAAGAGAAAGGGGAAGGTAGAAAGGTTAGAAAGAGAGGGAGAGATAGAAAAAAGCAGAAAGAAAAGTAGGGAGAAAGGGAGAGAGGGGAGCAAAGGGGGAGGCAGATATTAAAGCAAACAGAGAAAGGAGGAAGAAAGAGAACGAGGAAGCGAAAGAAAAAAAAAGTCCCCACAACTCATTCGCAATGTAATGAGGTTATGAATTGAATAACCCCCATAACAACAATCTTTGTAATTATTACCATCAATATTACACGTCATATGCGTCAATAGCGTCTCGAAACGTGAGGCTTTCTTCGTGAAGAAAAGTCCACTCTCACCCCGCCCCTTATTTTATTTCTCAAATTATTCACGTTCAAGTACTATTGTGCCAGACAATACGAACAAAGACGAAAGTGAAGTGAACAGAGGGGGAGCAAGAAAAAAAAGTAGATGAATTCTTCCTTTTTATTGATTTTCAAAGCCACTCGCGTGTGATTTATTTCTTTTTATTAATTAGGCTGGGTTATAAATGGATGGAGCTACGCTAAAAGAGAGATGAAAGGGGCTATGTTTTGAAGAGTCTGCATTATGATGCAAAATCGTAGTAGGAGGAGTTTCCGAGGAGAGAGAGAGAGAGATAGAGAAAAAAAATGTCTTTGATTCTAATTAGTTTTTATAATTCAAAGTGTGTTTGCGCAGTCGCTTGGCACATACACCAAACTATATGACTTTTAACTTTCTTCTATTTCAACGACTCTTCAGCGCATGCGCTCTGAAACTCGAGCGGAAACTCCGCCCAATGGACTCGCAGAGTTGGGAGCAGAGCGAACGCTAAGCCGCGCCCACTCTACACGAGACCAGCGAACAATTGACCAATCAGCGCCCGGCTCCGTACTCTGCCAATCACGGCTGCCTCACTCCAATACGGTCTGATGTTGACACCGGTCCCAAAGGTGCGGTTTTGCGTTAGTGCTTGTCATAAAGCAGTTTGCATTGATTACCTTCGGTCATACATAATCATTCCGCTAATCGGCCTCGACAGGGCATAATCATCGATATATTTTCGTTTTGATTGGTCGCCGAGGAAAGAAGTTGATAGCTCCAGTGGTCGTTATTTACAACTATTGGTTTTGATTTGATTTGATTCGTTCGTATGACGGCGCTGGAAGCGAGTAGCCGTTCTGCTATGCCGGGTGAAGTTCCGTATACCTTTGCGCCGACGCTCCCCGCGATGTCTGGGCTACCGCACCCTGGTGGGCTGCCACTACCGCACCTCATGCGGAGACTCGAACCCCGTTTTGATGCTTCGGATGAGAAGTCCTCCATCTTTTCAGGGGTGCTAGCACCGACTCCGATCTACCAAGGCATCTTCAGGCAACATCTAGCAGCAACGGCACCACAACCAATCTCCAACACGGCATCATCCCCGCAGGCAACACCACCACCAGTACCCCAGCAACCTCCTGCGGGTGGTATCGCAAACTCCACAACATCTTTTCTTGTAAAGGACATTCTCTCTAGTAGGGCACCGATCCACAAGCCCATTCCCCGTCACCCTGCCTCATGCACCACTTGCAACTGTCTTCGACAACAAAAGGACCAACTAACTCCCAACAGCTCTTCCAACGGCAACAACAATAACAACAATAACAACAACCACACCTCACAACATCAAGACCACCAGCACCACTACCACCATCCTCATCCCCCTCATGGTGATCGCTCGTCATCGTCACCGCCACACCCTCCTCATCCTCCGCCTTCGGTTTCCTCATCATCGTCTGCATCGTCGTCCCATTCGCACAATCACTTGCCGACATCGTCGTCGGCGCCGAGTACTCAATCGCATCATCAGCTTCCTTTACCCCTCACGTCGTCGTTTCACCCCGCCCATCATCACACTCCACAACGCCTTCCTCTTCACCACGGTAGTCATCATCGACATCAGATACCAAGCCCTGGGGGCTCGCCGGGGGCCAACAACCACCACCAACCGCCGCAACCAGCACTTCCCTCTAGCTTCCTCAAATTCGGCGTCAACTCGCTGTTGTCACCACACAGCCTGTCACCACACGGTGAGTTTTGCCTTTTATTTTCTCCTCCAACTTTATTAACCTATTCAAGCACGAATGACTATGTCTAACTATATGTTGTTTTCCTTACGATTTGTTGGTTATACATTTCCATATACCAAGAACTTATTTATTTATTTTTCAGAGAGGGAACGGATGTTCCGACAAACTTGATAATTTCGACAAGAAAAGTGGGGTCACATATACAACAGAACACTCTCAACAAAATGCTAAATAGGCCGATCAAATCTTTGTATATAAAGGGGATTGCCACAGCCCCCCTACTCCCCCCTCGACTTCGCTTATCATAAATATTATGACATGCAGGTACAGACAGTTAGCCCGCCCAGAGTTATCATTGGTACATATGACTTTCGTTTTTTTATTTCCAAAGACATGCTGCAAGCTTCTACTTAAATATATTCATCATTTGATTTCCTTTGTCTCTTTCTTGTCTAATCGTTTTTTGAAAGTATTGTATTGTGCGTACCTTCCAGTGAAATAGAGTCTTAAATGTTTATTATTATTATTAGTAGTATCATTGGTTATCATTATTGTCATTATTATCCTTATCATTATCATTATTACTATTGTTATTATTATTACTATCATTATTATTATCATTATTATTATTATCATTATTACATTAATATTTCTATTATTATAATTATCTTTATTATTATTATTATCTTTATTATTTTTATTATCATTATCATCATCATTATAAGTAGTATCTACATCAATATCGTCGTCGCGATGATTATCACTTATATCAGTATTACAGTTGTCGTTATTGTAGTTGCTGCTGCTGTTGTTGTTCTTTCTGTATCACGATTCTTCAATAGAAAGTAAATTCTTTGTGCTGCATGTGGTTCAATCAGACCAATATTCTCCCATACCTCTACTACGATGTTTTTTCCTCATCCTTCGATTTGGTGAATACGTTTTCTTCGTTTTTAATCCATGTCTATATTTGACATGCGAGATAGTATTCAATAATATTAGTTAGTATTAAAAAAAGATACGCTGTTGCTCACACAGTTGGAGTAGTTATGCTTACCTCTTGTCATGAAGTGATTGTGATTGTGACCATGTGGATTATTCTTGAGAAAGAAAGTTTTTTCTCCTCATAATTGTATTGATCAATCTCTATGACTCGTTAAATTGATCAATTAAGTTCTAAGAAGCCGTTTTTGTATACATTTTATTTATGAAGAATACACAAAAATAGGTAAGAAAAAAAATGTATTCCAACTTTATGGGCAACAGTGTAGTATCAATTGTCCTACTTTAAATTCATTAACGCTGACTAGTAGGATCGCATTCAGACGGTGTATTCATAGAGGCAATACTAATACATTGTTTAGTTGACTTTCTCCTTTTATTTAGCCACATATTAAGCAAAAGTGAGAGCTAAAGAGGGAAATTATTTATTTGCTTTAGCTGTGCATCGGAAGAAATAGCGCCCTAAGCCTCTCAAATAATAGTATTAATGTAGGTAACCATTTAAACAACACCAATGTAGAGAGTGACCACTGTTAATGAAATACCTTCTTGGCAGGGATTTGAACCCGAAACCTCCTGACTAATGGTTATGCAAATGAACCTCTAAACCACTAGAATGCATGATTATTGTGAGAAGTGCGTATTACTCATTAATTCAATGTAACTATTGAGGAGCGTTGTGCTTATAGGCGCCCGCATCCTTGGTTTATTTCTAACGAGAAATAGACGCAATTCTCCCCTAATCTCCTGCGATACTCGACCGTTAGTATTAGACCCTTGTCCGCCCGCTGGTGATAATCTTTGCCGTATGTTCAGTGTAAGCTTACCTAGATATCAAGCCTTTTTAATGCGTATCCGATATCAAAACTACTGGTAGGAAACACTGGTAGTCGTTGTGTAACATTACGTGATATTAGGTCTGGACAAATTAACACCCATCTCTGTGTGATATTAGACAAATGAAAAGAAATTCAAAATGAATCCATTTCTTGCTAATGTTTACAATAGGAACATACGCTGATGAGAAATTACAAAGCTCCTTATTTGAATCGCGTAGAAAGATACAGCTATAATAATCACTTTAAGAAACATGTATGGCGATTGTTTCTAACATTTTAAACATAGTCAGTCTTCGATATTATTTATACAACTTGATATTTAAGGAATGAGATATTGCTGATACTTATACTTGCTCGAGTCGTCCAAACCACAACAGACTTATGTCGATGAGGGCGACATTTCAGAAATGCTGAACGTTGCCTTCATCTACGGGTGGCTGCATTGTGTTAACCCTTCCTCTGTATCTGGTATATTTCAATTTACACATGCTTAACCATGCATTCCTCAGCCTCTGCTTCATGTCCCAGACTTCTTCTTCTTCTTTTCCTTATCCTCCTTCTTATCTTTTTTTTTGTTTTTTTGTTTTTTTGTTTACTTATTCTTCTTTTCCTTCTCCTTCTTCTACTACTTCTTCTCATGCTTCTTCTTCTTCTTTTACTACTTCCTCTACGACTTTTTCTTCTTCTTCTTCTTCTTCTTCTTCTTCTTCTTCTTCTTCTTCTTCCTCTTCATTTCCATCGCATCCTCCTCCTTCTTCATTTATATCCCATCCTCCTCCTTCATTTTCTCCTCCTCATTCTGCTCATCTTGTGTCTACCTCTTCCTCCTCCTCTTTGCTCTTTCGTATTCTTCTTCTTCATCATCATCCTTATTTTCATACCAATTGTTTATCTCTTAAATATCCTTGCTACCATTTTGTCACTATTCCCCCTTAAAGGTACTATGTCCCTTTTGCAGCGATCCTCAAATGCTGTAGAACTTTGCAGGAATTATGAATGTGTCATGTATTTCCTATCTGTGAAATTTAAACGTTAACAGTGTCCAAATATTCAAATTATGCAAGGAAACCCGTTTACTTGCTAGACTTCACTGTGAGACACTTTTAAGTGACTGACTGGCTTTTTTCTTCTTTGGTAATAACATACATAAAATGAGATGTAAAGGGTACATGAGCATTTGTCTTCATCAATAACCCACTTGTTGTGATGGCCAAAATTAAACTGTTTGAATCTTTGCGCAGCATAAAACGTATGACCATTTGGTACAATAGTCTGAAAATCAAGACTATTACGTATTGGCTCTATAGCTCCTAAGTCGATTTGACAACTAATAGTCGTTATTTTCCCACTTGAAGACATTTTGAAGCACCACTTTTTTTAGGGAAGTTTTAAATGAGTATTATCTTTCAAATACCGTTGGAATTTAACCTTTTAATTTTGTTGGCCTGCAAATAGGACACAGTACCTTTAATAACCAAAATTAACAAAAAAACTGGCGATTACATCTTAAATACAACTAAAATCATTGCAATTATTTTTCAAAGTTTCAGACCCTAAAGCTTAAATTCAACAGGCTGAATCAAGGTCTCTTGAGTATTCTCAAGCAGACATGAATAGTTTCAAGTGGGTCAATATTTATTTGAGTAAGTTCACGACAGAGGTGCTTTTGTCAATTCAACAACTTAAAATCACGTTGCATCTTACAAAATAGTTAATAAGCTAATGGGCGCTCTTTTTGCAAGTATTGTTATAAATTCGTTCCTTTTTGTCAATTCCGACGGTTTTATATCTATTTACCTTTATTTCAATCCTTTCAAATCAAAGTTGAACAGTTTCTTCTCTTCATGGCAAGTACGTTTAAATATATTTAGTCATTTTCACTTTCTTTCGACACATTTTTTTTTGCAATTATTCCTCATTTGTTTGTACCTTATAATGAAAATTGTCTAGATGTAGTTTGTTAAAGATTTTTTTGTTTACAATTCCTTTCCATCGGTTGTATCAATTTATGTCAAGTCATTCAATTGACAGGGAGTATAAAATCAACAATGAGTAAAATCAAAGGAGGTAAGATGAACGCCTTTGTGAAACAAAACCAAAAATGTAGACAATATGGCATGACGTGACTGTCTGGAGCGTTAGAGCTAGCAGGGGCGGATCTAAGGGGTGACATGGGGGCACGTCCCCTCCATACACAAATCGAGTGTAAAATATTGTAAAAATGCGACTCCAACACTTGTGCCATGCTACTGGTATTTCGAGATAGAATTACCCCTTGATAAATATTAAAGACATTTATCCCCCCCCCCCTCCCCCCCTTTACGCGGCCCATTCTGGACCCGCCACTCTAATTACAGCAAGATCATGTTTGATGACGTATTACATTTTCAAGTGGATATGAATAGATGAACAAGTTCGCTCAAATATAAACACCAATTTCATGGTCGTTTGGGGGGCCTATGCAGCATGCCCCAAAGTATTTGTGTTTCGGGCACACTCCGGCACAATCCCTGTTTCAGAGAAAACACAATGATTGCTTTAGCTTTGACTATGGAATCATGAATTTACTTAAGAACCCTTCAAAGTTTCTTACAAACAAAAACGAAATTTTCAAAAGGTAAATAGATATGGAGTGCGTGTACACTAAGGCAGTGTCAATAAAGATGTCCCCAATGGCTTAATCACGATCTGTCTATTGTTCAGGTGATATTGGATAGGCAAAGAAGTGTTAGAAATTGGTGAATTTTGTTTAAAGGAGTTCAAGACCTTGTTTCAATACACTAGATATTGGCAGCCATTTTATTACTTTGCCAACACATTGTTGTGGCACAGCCCCGCCTTGCACATTCATCACGCACATGCATGTATATCAACGTCCCAGTTTATAAAACCTTTCAGCAAGCAAATAGAGCTATAAAGCGCTTCTTTTTACAGTAAAAACAATTTTGACATGACCATAGTTATCCTAAATGAAATAGTTATAATGGCAGATAGACTTGTCTACGTCACTGCTCGAATATGAAGTGACGCTAGCCAGAAAATTGTAAATTTCATGATTCTCCAGGAGTTGTAACCACCCCCACCCCCCGCCCTTCCCCCTCCTTCTCGTACGCCTATTTATACAGTTTCTTGGATTGGCGGGGAAGGGGGAGGGGGGCGCTATGGATAACAAATCACTTGACGTCATTCTATATCATCATATTCCATCCTTTGTAAATCTCTTGACATTATGATTTAACCTGCCCATGAAAATCGTCAGGATTTTGATGGACGTCTGGGAAAGGGCAGATTAAAATACCAATGGATTTAATGAGGCTTTGATTACCCTGCTCGCCTTACAGTATACACCGTGTGACGCGACAGACGTTTGTTTTTATCACGCCCGAAAGTTTACACTAAAAAATCGATAAATGGGTGTCTAGATCACGAAAATTACACCTGGATATATTTTAGAAGAATAAAGCGTTCTGGAACCATCTTTTGAATCGTCAGTTTACTCTTCTTGTAATCTAGTGATTGTTTTATTTCAGTCTTGCACTTGTGTTTGTTCTTCGATGTCAGTTTTCCCTTTAGACGTACAGTCCCATTTCATATGTCACTCTTGTATTTAGATGTACATGCCTATTTTTTCTTCAAATATTCTGTTAGTAATATCATGAGTATACGAGAGCAGACTAAGTGTATATGGAGTTCATTGCCGTCCCGCCGTGATAATTTAAAAAAAAGGTTTCGAAGAGTTTCTCATTACTAGTATTGTCTTTATCTGTTTATGTGAAAATGTAAGCCTGTAATGAAAATAGGATTGTAATGACCTTCCTTAAAAATAATATAAAAATAACAATCAACAAACAACAAGTTACTTATCTACTCTTTTTATTATTAGTCATGGCAACCTCATCAAACTTTTGTGGAATCTTCCTCTTCACGTATGAATTAACGCCGATGTTTTGTTATTTTTCATTTGATGTAAGAAAGAAAGAACGAAATTGCGTCTGAAAATAATTTTTTAAAACGTTATTTTTATTTTTATTTTGCAGTAAGTCAAGCATGCACGGCCAGCATCGGACACAGTGCGTTCAGTGACCTCCGACCTGTGATTGCGTCACTTGGGACGCTGCACAGAAGCTTCTATGAAAACTCGTTTCACCAATCTCCAACATCAGCTCCAAGAAACCCGTTTCTACAAGGTAAATATGATGGTGGTGGTGGTGGTGTTGGGGTGATGATGGTGGTAGTGATGATGGTGGTGGTGGTGGTGGTGATGATGGTGGTGGTGGTGATGATGGTGGTGGTGGTGGTGGTGGTGGTGATGATGGTGGTGGTGGTGATGGTGGTGGTGGTGGTGGTGGTGATGGTGATGGTAGTGGTGTTGGTGATAACGATGAAGATGACCACGAAGATGATGATGAGGGTAACGTCTCTCGGGATGATGGTACGGTGGTGGTCATAGTGGTGGTGTTGGTGATGATAATCGCTATGATTTTAAGTAATATAACGATGGCGGTGGTGGTGATTGTGGATATAATGATGGTGGTTATGACGATGATGGTTGTAGTGGTGGTGATGATGACAGTGATGATGATGATGATGGTGGTGGTGATGATGGTAGTGGTGTTGGTGATAACGATGAAGATGACCACGAAGATGATGATGAGGGTAACGTCTCTGGGGATAATGGTATTTTCAAATAAATTATATGCTTTGCTTTATTTAAACACAAATAAATTAAAATAAATGAATTCCATGATAGAATTCGATCATATTTCAATCTTTTCACCTTCCATCGCTCATCATATTCCCTTCTACTCCACAGTACCTCCGTCCTCTGTCATTCCTGTACCGGGTACGTTCCCCTGGCCCGGGGCGGCCCGGGGGAAGCCCCGTCGGGGTATGCTGAGGAGGGCTGTATTCTCCGATGCTCAGAGGAAAGGGTTAGAGAAGCGCTTCCAACAGCAGAAGTACATCAGTAAACCCGACAGAAAGAAACTGGCTGCAAAACTTGGTCTCAAAGATTCACAGGTACTTATTTTTATATTACTTTATCGATTTTCTTGTCGTCTTTATAAACAACTTTCTTTTTGATTATGTTATTCTTTGTTTCATTCTCATTACTTATTGTTTGACTATTATTTGTTGTGTTTCTGTTGTATACCTATGTTTGTTTGTTTGTAAGTGTGTGCGTGTGTTGAGCAATTTTCGTGTTTGCTCGTCGAAAATCAAGAAAGTACGTGTAAAGGGAAGTTCTAATGATACGTTGCCAAACAAGTTGAAATATTCAAGAGGACTCAACAAAGGTAAAATTTTAACGAACCCCCAAAACAAATTTTGTTTATAACTATCCAATTTAGCTATAAGAACTGTTCATAATTTGCGCTATATAAATTAACGTATCATTGTTTAAAACTGTACATACTTGGTAATTATAAGAGAATTTGCTTGCGAAACAAAGTTGGTTAAAATATAAACAGATAAATTGTCCTCTATTTTTTTCCTACGTCCCCCATTTAAAGTTTTATTCAGTGATGAACTAATTATTTGCAGCCGCCCATCGCTGTGAAACCACTTGTTTCCAGATGAGATATATATGCAAACTGTTGCTCATTTACACACACACACACACACAACAAAAACCCGAAATTCTCAGACCGCTTATACCAATTAATGAACTTTTTATTGGGCAGAAATATTGACGATGAAAACACACACGAGACCTTCTTTGTCTTCCTGATGCGATTTTGATACGTTGTGATTTGAGCGAGCGCGAGGATCTGTGGCCTCCGTTCTGAACACGCATTAAATTCCTATCACTTCTAAACCTAGCCTTTCAAACTTAATTCCCAATCAAGGGCAAGAAGGCGAGGCTGTGCTTGATAGTGAAAATGCAGAGTTTCATTGCAGAGCCCATGGGTGGAATAATAATCACATAAAAACGCCAAATCCAGCTCTTTCGAACGGCTTGGATGCCTGGTAAAAGTGAGATGTGTTTAAAGTTTACGGCTCATCAGCGCGGGTTGATGGTCCCTCCCGTTTTGATATGGAAGTAGCACAAATTATTTTCCAATGACGTTTTGATTGCAGGGGCAGGATATTGAGAGATAGCATACGTTTGTTGTTTGTTTAAAGTTTAATTTGAAAAGAAAGCTACACGTGCTTGCGTGGATATACGAAACTTTGAAAACGTTCTGGGTCAGCAGTTTTTTGCACACGATCCTCAAGAATTTGTGATCGTATCCTAAACTTTTCAAACACCCGATGTATCACAGAGAACTCTTGTTGTACTGTATAGGCCAGTTATGACTGATATCTGGTTTCCCTTCGGGGTATTTTGAATTGGAGGAGGAGGAGGAGATTCCATGTAATTATTGATATTTTCCCTGGACGTACATACAATTGAATATAATTTATTGTTGATTTAATTTCAACTTCAGAGTCTCAAAACGATTTAAAATTGCATTACCTCATTGTCTATAATACATCCCCTCCTATTCATTTCATTTCAGAATAAAAGCATTAAATAGCAAGAGATGTGAGGAGGTTTAAAAAGGTTGCAAATGAAATATGCGACGAGAAACTTGGTATAATTTAAGAGATGTCGAAGTCTATTTGTTTGAGCACTTGACTGGCAATGAAAGGGTCATGGGGTCCTTAATGTCGACCCCGACACGGCTGTGTAAGACATTAATCTACACTTGCCACTCCATACCCAGGGGGAGAAATTGGGACCGGGTAGGAAGAGAAAGACCTTTTTGATACCGCTTAGAGACGATAATATTTCGTATTAAGTGGTCTTTGTCATTATAATTTCATTTGGCCTCATACCCCGATCTCTATAATTATTTTACGAATCCCACTGATATTGTATTATAATCGCTGATATTTTCGGATGGGGCATATATCTAGGAAAATTTCTCTTAAAAAACAAAACAAAACAACCATCACAAAACATCCCGTGTTACTTAAATAGACAACAGAAGTATGGAAGCATTATGTTTACATTTTGTCATATCGATCGAATTTCTCGTATTCATTTTGTTACATATATTTATAATTCATCAATATCTTTATGATAAATATCTTTGCGATCTTATTGTTTCCGAGTGCCAGCTTTTTTCTTTCTTTCTTGTCAACTCTGCAGCTGTTTTTCCTATCGTGACAAGTAGATCGAATGTTTTTGTGTATCTCAATGTCATAAAAGAGTAAAATATTATTCGTTTCAAGCTATCATTACAATGCCATTACAGGGTTATTGACCATTTCTTAGAGCTCTTTTCCTTCAAATATATATATTCTGGATAACTGTAATTTGCTTGCAGATTTGCACAATTAACCATAATTTCGTTTAAGAATAGATTTCATTATTTTAAACCCCGATTGAGTTTCTTTATATACTCAGTATGGACATTTAAAGATTAATAGCAAAGACCTTCATGTGTCTCCAAACTGCTTTTTGCAAGCAAAGTAGCCGCGCTGGAACTAGGACACTTGTCTACTGGACAAATGATTTTCGAATTATTTTGTCCAAATTGATCATTTCCTTGGCTGCTGTTTATTCACTTCTGTGCAAACAATATTGGAATGGCCAAGGGATACGAGATTCACAAAAAGATAACCCCAAACTGGAATAGGGGTGATGAATTATCGCAAGAAATTCAAGCGATATTTGCAAAAATTAAACCAATCATCGTTTTTGTTATGTCGTTTTTCTGTTATCTGTAGTAAGTAGGAGGGGGACTTTGTAGCGGATCGTTTTTGAGAGAGGGAGGACGGTAAAAAGAGGATGCGCGTTTTGTATGAATACGGCACGTGCTGGTGAGAGGCGTTTTGTTGTCTCCTTGCGTTGCCCTCAATGATGGTAAAAGAGAGCTTTTGCGTTGTGGACCATTTCCCAACAAATACATTATATATCAACGCTTACATCATATATATTACAAAGTTTATCTTTAGATGGCTACAATCCATTCCGTGAGATAACAATCTCGAATCAACGAATCATGATTTGGAATTAGCCCCTTTTTTCGGAGAGATTAAAGAGTTCTCCCTTGTATTGTATTGATGGTAGTTGTACATTGAAATATTTCGGCCGCAGATGTAGATAGCGATAACAATCTCTGATTATCGCTCGAGAGATCATAACCGGCTAGGCTTGACTGAACAGGAGTTTTTATCGCCCAATAACCACGGGGCGTAACACGAACAAGGGTTGCTCAACGAATCGTGTAATAATTTCGCCCAGATAGTATTATAGAAAATGAAAACAGCAACACGGACAATACAAACGGAATCCAAATCATCGGCGATAATTGCTGCTCATTTGAGGTTGCCAATGTTACGCCTGGTTTAAAACTATCACAACAGTCCCGCCGCGGTGTAAGGCCTATCGAACCAATTGTAAAGGGGTTCATCTCTTCCCCCCAACTTGAACTTGTATTGTTTTTATTCATCATTTCCCTAAATAATACATTAATACACCGGCGTGTGCACATTATAGGGGGCAATTCTCCACGCTCCATCAATTACAAGCGCAATGTGTCTAGAATTAATGAAAAATTGAGAAGAAAAGAAAAGAAAGGGAGGACGGTAAGAGCATTTAGCGGAATTAAAGACCCGCGTGAACTTTGTGAGATCATGAATATAGGCATGATTGGGGAGGGGTAAACGGTGAGGGGTTATCTATAGGGGCACCTGGTCTTCTGGTTTCATGAGAGACTTTCGAAAAGCTGTTTGAATAAAACAAAGAGACTGAATAGATAGCGCGTGGAATGGTGTGCTAAGGAGCTTCAATGGGAAAGATCGGCTTCACCGCACAAATCGATATTACTTAATTCACAATTAATATTCAAGACAGATAATGGCTTTTTAATGCGGGCCTTATTTTTCCGTTTCTATGACAATGAAAACCACAGTACTGTTTAATATTCATTTGAATACATGCTATACCCTTTTTTCCTTTCTCTCTCTCTCTCTCTCTCTCTCGTTATATTGTCGTTTATAGATTACTTTCTCTCTCCATCATTCTATCTCACTCTCTGTCTCTCTATCTAAATTATAAATTTCACTTCGCGCGCGCTCTCTCTCTCTTTCTCTCTCTCTCTCTCACTCTCTCTCTCCCTCTCTCTCTCTCTTTCTCTATATATCTCTTCCATTAGTTATTTTTCAGTTTCCATTATTCATAACATTTTGTGGCATGTGTTTAAATCTTCATAGATTTGATCGATAAATGACGGAACCATGAGCGAAATGTGTATAAAACAACAATAATTATACCTAACATTTAATAATCAATCTTCATCCACGTAAAGATAAGATGTTAAATCAGTTTTTTAAAAGGTCGAGGAGTGTCCATTTTAACAACACTTGTAGATTAACACTTTTGAACAGATTCGATCTAACACTATAAAGGTTTAATCTAGAACGTTGAAGTATTAAAATGACATTTTTGAAAAGTGGTCACTCCTCAATCCTTTTGAAAGATGATTAAACATTTTAGATTTTTAGAGTGACAAACTTCAGCTTTCATGTTGGCATGTTTGGGGGAAGAAGATCACTGATCCATGCTGTACACGTACGGATGATTATCATCCGCGAAACTGTAGCTAGCGATTAGGTATTCATGAGTTTCAGTTACCCGGTTGGTGCTGCCCCAATATGATAAAACAATGAGACGAGAAAATGTCGGGAATGTGTAATCAATTCTACTAAATGTATGATAGACTTTAACTTAAAGGTCCATTTCTATGTCGCTAAAGAAATGCTCCCGTAAACACATTTATAGAGGTGATCCTACGTTTGTCCCTGATTTTGATATTTCGATTAAGGTTTAGGGGTAAGCTTAGCAGTGCAGTTGCGGTTCATAGGATTGCAGTATAGAGTTAGGGTTAGAGTTAGGAATAGGTCCTGGTTGACCTTAGAAATTCGGATATATTAAGTAGGTAGTTGAACACTGTAAAGTAGTTATTTTCACCGGAGCATGGTGTCGTACGTAGAGCGCTTCTTTTCCTTTGTCAACACCATCAACAAACTAGACCTTACTTGCACAATGTATTTGGGATTTGGGTCAAGCCTACGCTCCTGTGAATCGCGGGTCACTGTTGGTCAAGCAAACCTAGCGAATGCTTGACCAGATGTTTGGTCAATTAACCCCCTTTCCCCCAATAAATGAAGAAAATATAGATTGCCTATATATTTTCAGGGATTGTTATTTGTACACAAAGTAACGGCAAAAGCTTTTTTGAGATCTCCCTTGGTACTCCAGGGGGGTTTCACAAAGATCCTAAGTCGAACTTAACTCTAAGTTGGACGTTAACATTACGGAGAGCCATTTGTAGCCTTAAAAAATATATATATATTCAAAATAACAAAATCAAGTACTTTTCATAAATTCGACGTCAAGAACATAAAATCTCTTTGATAATAGAAATAGGAATGATTTGAATCAACATTGTATGCCTTTGAAAATAACTTTTACTAAATATTTTCAAAGATTGTTAAGTACAACTTAGAGATAAGTTCAACTTAGGATCTTTGTGAAACACCCCCATATTAATCAGTGGCTAATGGTGGTAACTTGTTTACCTTTCTGGTCATGCAGCGATTTAAAATTGTCTAGCTTTTCAGAGACTGCTTCAAAAATTGAATAGAATTAGTCCATAGTTTAAAACTAAATTCGAAGAAGCCTCTATTATGAGTTCTTTAGTTTAGAATCTTATTCACATTTCATCAGGTCTTATCCACATTTCGGTTGCGATTCTGATTTGACCCATTTTCTGTTTTGTTTTGATCGAAATTGAGATAAATCGTATTATTTTTTAATTGCTCTCAAATTAATGTTCCTCTTTTATTTCATCTCCTTTCTTTTTTTTCTCTCTCCAATCTCCAGGTTAAAATTTGGTTTCAAAATCGACGGATGAAATGGCGTAATTCCAAAGAACGCGAACTTCTGTCGGCAGGCGGTTCCCGAGAATCCACGCTCCCTAACCGATCGAACCCGAACCCGGATCTCAGCGACGTCGGAGGAGCGTGCAATGCTTTGCTGATGGGCAATAACCCGGATTGCGAATCGGATAGCGAGAAAGAACTCATGGATACTCCGACTAGCAGTCCGTGTGGAAGCCCCACCCATCTGCAGCATCATGTTCGGTCCACGCATGCGCAGGAGGAGCTTTTGATGCCGACTATGCACGGACACTACCTCCACCACAACGAATATGGTGTCGATGATGACCGAAAGATTCCGGAATTTGCCGAAGTCGGAGATTCGGATAATGAAATAGATATTGATTGAACTGAAGTGAACAGCTGACTGAGGGGTTTTTGAAAGAAAGTTTCTTCGGGCGTGGGGGTACCTAAAAAACGCAAACGAATTTACACTATTGATGTGATTTATTGTAAAGCCTTTTTCATGATAACGTCCCATGGTACATTGGTCGAATAAAAGAAACATTTGTTTCATTTCCATATGACAATAGTTTTTGAAAAATCATCAGATTATGTTGCAGAAATGCAACAAAATCGTTTTTTTACGACAACCTTGTTTTCGTTTTTTATTCAAACCATATCACAAATGTACAGATGTAAATATTTTAATTTATTTTTATTGCAGCATAAAATATACCACATTGTTCGAAAGATGAATATCATTATTACTTTGTTAGAGATGGCGGTGACGACTTTGAAACATACATTCCATAAAGAAGGTTTGAATTGTATCTTCAGCTGATACATAGGCCTATTGATGTAGACAGATTATATTTTGAAATAAGAAATATTCATGTTTTCTTGTTGAGTCTTTTTATTCTTCTTTTTTTTTGTATATCTCCTCATCGTCTTTTTATTTGATAGCTGAACTATTTTTATCTAATATTTATTCGTTTTAGCGGGTAGATATTCACTTCGCAATATTGCAATATTCACGTTGAGTTATTTGGGATATCAAAGCAATCGAAAAGGATTATATCCCTGTTATTTTTTTTTATTTTTAGTGGAATATATCAGTTTCTTCCTTCCTCTTCCTCAATTGCATACATTTGTGTTCTTCCCTTGTTTAATTCCAGCTTCTTATAATTCACATTAGACGATTTTTTTTTGTTTTCTTAATGTTTTTTTTTTATAACTCTGCCAAATGCAATGATTTTCATTTTGTTTTACCTCCCTTACAAATGATAACATACTTATATTATTCAGACATTTTAAAGGACATCTTAAAAAAACAAAAGATACTACCAACGACAATTGCTAGCGTCATGCTGAAACCTTGAGAAAGAAAAACCATAAAAGATCTCTTTCTCTCACAAAATCATTCTCTGAGCTTATCGTTATATTCTACATTATAACATCTTTATTTAGCTCTCATCACCTTTCCATGTATTTTGCAATATCATTTCCACCTTGTTTTTATCGTTTGGACATCGGGCAAATGTGCAAAAATTCTGTGTAATTTATTTTCCTCCAAATTATAGAGTTAGTGTTTTAGTTCCAGAGAACTGCATTTTCTTCTGAAATAAAGAATGTATATATGATAAGTGTACATATTTGTGGACATTGTAGTATGACTATTTTTTGCTCCAAGTGCTCGTGGATCAAAAAGCAATAATAAAATGCATCTAAAACCGATTCTTGTTTAATGTGCGAGTTGTTTATTCATTCTTTGGTTGGTGGTTGGTGTAGATGCGGTTACGGTGGTAACGGTTTTATTGACAATTCATTTGCAGCCAGATGGCTGAATTGCAGAATTTTGTACATTGCGTAAAAACATAAATAATGATACACAAATAAATAAACTACAATAACATTATCCAGCAAAACGTATTGGCCCGAATTCACAAAGGAGGTTTGTCGACAAACCTTGGTTTTCGTACGTCATATGACGCGTTTTACGCGTTTTTTTACAAACCTGGTTTGTAAAGAACAAAAGGAGGTTTGGCGAAACAAAAGGAGGTTTGAGCTCAAACCTTGCTCTGTGAATTCGGGCCATTAAGAGCTAGATAACACACAGTGATTGAATTTTTTCGATAAATCAGTTAAACACCTACATTAATAAAGTTCGATAAACAGGTGAAAGTCGCATAAATCTATTCCACAATCATATATGAACAAATCGTTTGAAATAAGAGAGAAGAGAGGTAGGGAGGGAAAACACAGACATCACGGGAGATCTAGGAAAAGTATGAGAAAAAAAGAGGGAGAGAAAGAGACAGAGGGAGAGTGAAAGAGATATAAAGGGAGAGATAAATAGAGATATAAGACAATGCTAAGGATGAGAGTGCATAACGAACATATCGAAAATAAGGTAAAAAGTACGACTTTGATACTTGAGAGAATACTGGTTGTAGATCCATAAATTACAAATAGATTTTACGTTTTCACTAATGAGTTATGGATAACATATTGAAAGGTAGTATGCATTAAAATGAAAAACATGAAATGTGGTGATTTGGTGATGACGATGATAATGATGATGATGATGGTGATAATACTTATGATGATGATTAAAACGGTGATCACATTATGATGATGGTGATTATGATAATAATGATGATGGTGATGGTGACAATGATGGTGACGGTGGGGATGATGATGATGATGGTGGCGGTAGTAGTGGTTATGGTAGTGGTGATATATAGTGATCATGATAATGATGAAGATGATGATTATCATGATGTTTTAAATAATAAAGATGATGATGATGATTGATGAAAATGATGAAGAAGATGATTATGATGATGATAATAATGATGATGGTGGCTTTGATGATGATGCTTTGAAACCAAGAATGTACGTACCTTAAGACTTTACAAGAAAGAAATACCCCTCCCCTAATTGTATTTAAATAAATTGTACCCTCCCCTTTATACATGTATAATCCTCGATCTGGCCCTGTTTGAAGTTCGAAATGAAAGTGTATACAAGAATTTTTTCTAATATTTTTCGTGTAACGAATTTCTTTCTTTTCTTGTAGCGACATCTTTGAAATAAAGCGATAGACCTTGCATCTAAACAATAAGCTCAAACGTAATGGCTACATGTACTGTAAAGGGAGCGCCGCACTGGCAATTCTTGGGAATTCCAGTACTGCATATATACGGTAAAGTGCATGCGCATTCTAAGCTAAGATCGATGGTAATTCCCGGAGTTGTTTGGTCTAATATCGCAATCTAAATTAACTTTCCCCATAATTATCACGCTTGTTTTCGAGCTCGGGAACATCTGTGACACCCCTGATTCAACATCATGAAACTGATGTGCCTCGTGGGAGCTTTTAATTGTTCTTTATTTACATCATTAAACGACTGAGATTTACTTTAGAGAGGGTGTATGCGAAAGATGGGTAACAGCTGACATTGATGGCATCATGATTAGTGCAAATATCATATTGGTATCTGAAGTCAGATGGATAAAGAGGTGGGGATAAGACATGCAAGAAAATGAGAGCAAGAGATTACTAGATAGACCGACTGATTCAGAGATAGAGATAGAGAGAGGGAGAGAGAGTGAGTTTGTAAGAAAGTGAAGACAGAGAGAAAGATAGAGACAGACAGAGAGTAAGAAAGATGAAAGAAAAGGAGAGCCAGCGACCGAGAAGAGACTGATAGACAGACCGACCGATAGAAAGAGAGAATGTGAGAGAGTGGAAGAAAGAGGGAGAGAGAGAGAGAGAGAGAGAGAGAATTCAGACTGAAAGACAGAAACATACAGACAATAAACCAACAAAATGTAATAAAGTTGCAAATCAGCCGCAAATGTGTTATGTTCTATTGCGTGATGTATAATTGCTCCTTAAGGTCGGATGGTAAAGCAATGTCATAATACTAATATCGATGATGTTATCATGCCGTTTTTTATGCAAATCACCGAGAAAATATAGATCGAAATCATTATCAATCATTGTCTTATCAATATGATTAAACACATGTATTTCATTGACGAAACAATATTCAGTAAACTACTCTGAGCTTTTCATGCAGGCTCATCAAAGTTTTCCTGCTTTCTACAGAAATTAATCTTTCGTCAGTTATTCCACGAGTTAATGGTTTGTTGCATGTTTGTTCACTGCAACAGTCTGTAAAAATCACAGGCGAAATCGGCGTTTCGTCAGAGAGATTGACTTTTTTACATAAATAAATCACTATCGGGATATAATACAATGCTAATAGCAATCATCATGATCATGAATTCCTATATTTGTCGTGCTAATAATGTCTATATCTATATTCAAAGAGCCATATGGCGACAAAATATCGATTTTTCTTGCACAAATAAAGAACGCTGTTGTGTATTTCGCATTCAGATGAATGTGAAATCAACTCAAATAATAGGGACACTAATGCAGAAATGGGAAAGATATTTTTTTTCGGAATCCATGCATTCCTACTATCTTGTTATAATGTATATATATATATATATATAAATATATATATATATATATATATACATACATATTTCCCTCTCCCTTTCTCTCTGTAGATTACTATTCCCTCCCTCTTTCAATTTCTCTTGTCGAAACGTAATTTCCCACTTCCCCCCCCTCTCTCTCTCTCTCTCTCTCCCTCTCTCTCCCTCTCTCACTGTCTCTCTCTCTCTCTCTCTCTCTCTCCCTCTCTCTGTCTATATGTCTCTCTGTCTCTCTGTCTCTCTCTCTCTCTCTCTCTCTCGTGATCTCTCTCTCTCTCTTTCGCTCTTTTTCTCTATATTTATCTCTTACTTTATTTCTTTATCATCCATTTTTCAAACATACACCGACTCTCTGCTAAAAATTAAAGGCATCGTTTAGCCAGGGATATGTGAGTTTAATGTTAAATCTGAGATACACGGCCCTACGTGTTACCGGTGTCTGTGATCCGGTGTACACACTAAGAAAAAATGGTGCAACTATGCACCTTTAGGGGTTCAAACCGATGCAACAATAGCAGCACCTTTAGGGGTTAAATCCTGCACCCTTTTTAAAGGTGCAATCCTGCACCCTTCAAAAGGGTGCCAGATTGAACCTTTTGGGGGAAATGTTAGTACCCTTTATGGTTCAATCCTGCACCTTTAGGGGTGCAAACCAATGCAACAATAGCAGCACCTTTAGGGGTTAAATCCTGCACCCTTTAGGAGGGTGCCAGAATGCACCTTTTAGGAGACATGTTAGTACCCTTAATGGTTCAATCCTGCTCCTTTAGGGGTGCAAACCGATGCAATAGCAGCACCTTAAGGGGTTCAATCCTGCACCCTTTAAAAGGTGCAATCCTGCACCCATCATCGAGGAATACTCGTGACATTTGCTCGTACACATATACATATTAAACATGCATGATGTTTCTTGGTTAGTAATCATATAATCAATATATATATATTGCTAAAACGTGAATGTAATTGTAACATGATCAGACAAAATAATCTATTGGTTAATGATTGCCGAAGGAAAATACAAATCACAAAATTGATGTGCGTTGTCATAATTTGCTTAACAAATCATATGATAAATGTATTTTTATGTGAACACGTGGAAAGTAATCATGAATATGCATGCAATATGCAAACTTTTATTTTGCATCTTTTGGGTTGTTAGGGTTCATTTTTGTGGGAAGGGTGCAAAATCTTATATCGCACCCTTTTTTGAACCCCTTTTCCTTCAATAGGGTTCATTTTTATGTAAAGGGTGCACTCTTTTTTTTGCACCCTTTTTTGCACCCTTTTTTCTTAGAGTGTAATATCGAAGCCCTAAACAAAATCGCGCTTCAAAATGATCAAGAAGTGCCTCAAAAAGTTAAAAAATTTGAGTGACCGGTTTTACCATACTCGTTTTTCCCAATAGACTGTAGTATTATGAAAACCGTTTGGCAAACGCAACATTTGGTTTCGATTTCAATCATGAATATCTTGATATTTAGATAGGCGATAGGCTTGTAAAAAGTCATGGGGTTCCTGACTGACCTAAAGGCTTATAATTATCATTGCAGCATGAGCTAAATTCAGGATTTTGTTTAAGAATCTGAAACAAAGTTACCGGATCTTTTTAAGTTATAATCATTCATTCTTGATTTCTTCCACCTCTCTATCCCTCTCATTTTCAGTCTTTCTCTCTATCTCTCTCTCTC